CACATCTGGGTGGGTTTGAACCACCAACCTTTCAGCTGGTAGTGGAGTGCTTAACCATTTGCGCCACCCAGGGATCCAGTTCAGAAATCATGTACATATATTAAGCACTTATTATGCAGAGAGCTTCCCCTGTGCTAAGCACTTCCCAAACATTCTCTTCTTTATTGAATATATGCAATGAACAGCTATCGGGGGCTATAGGAGACACTGAAAAAGTAGCACACACATGGGCCCTGCACCGAAGCTGCTTTCAAGCCTCTTGTCAGGGAGATGACCCTTTCACAGATCACGTGCCTGGAGCAATAGCAAGATTATAAACTGCATGAGGGCAGATCCTATGTCTCCAGACAGGAGCTCTGTGCATCTCGAGCACAGAGCACATCACTCAACACAGAAACATTTATTTAATGAAAGCCTACATGTGCTATAGACGAAAATTGGGGGTAAAATTCACAAACAGATAAAGAATATATGTCTCAGGTTACATACGCGTGAGAAGAGGACACAGGAAGATGGCATTGATAACCCGTCCCTGAATTTTCTTCTCTCTTTCCCTTTCACCACCAGGGGTCTCCCTGGATCACTCCCTCCTCAGCCCCGTCAAATGCTAAAACCAGTTGCCATCAAGTCAATTCTGACTTAGGGCGACCCCATGAGTGTCAGAGTAGAACTGTGTTCCATAGGGTTTTCAGTGGTTGGTTTTTCAGAAGTAGCTCATCAGGCCCTTCTTCCGAAGCACCTCTCTGGGTGGACTTGAAGCGCTTAACTGTTTGCACCACCCAGAGACTCCCTCAAATGCTACTGCCTCCTTTCTTTGTCTTTTCAGGAACAAGATCTTGATATTTGGGCTCCTGGAGGAGACAGCACTGGCTGCTTTTCTGTCTTACTGCCCAGGCATGGGTGTAGCCCTCCGCATGTACCCGCTCAAGTGAGTCTCTCTAGAAAGGGGCCCGAGTGAATGGCACAAGCAAACAGAATGTGATCCCCTTTCTAGGATCCAAGTTCTGGTCCATTCGTTTGAATCCTTCTCTATTTCACCATGCCATCCTCTGATGACACTGTCCTTCCCTGTTTCTTTCAGGGTCACTTGGTGGTTCTGTGCCTTCCCCTACAGTCTTCTCATCTTCCTCTATGATGAGGTCCGGAAGCTCATCCTGCGGAGATATCCCGGTGGTAAGCTCCTCCGCACCCACCCCAACCCCCAGCAAAGTTCAGCCGCCCCCCCCCACCAGCTACCCCTTCCAGAGCTCCAACCCAAACATACTCCCACTACCATGCTGTTCCTTGTTGCTCTAACATCCTGGGCTTTCAGGTCCTAAGGACCCTGAGTCTTTGAGCCTGTCCTTCCTGTCCTCTTCCTCTCAGACTCCAAGCCCGTCTAACTCACAATGGACCTTCAAGGTCCTCCGCCTTCCACCCTGGAATCACAGAACGTCAGAGTTAGAAGGGCCCTTTGAGGTCATCTAGTCCAACCCCCACATTTACAGATAAAGAAGGCTCAGAGAGGAAGTTCTCTGCTCAGGGTCATAAAGCAAGTGAGTAGCAGAGCTAGGACCAGAACCCAAGTCTCCTGATTCCCAGTCATCAACCAACAAGTGTTTTTTTTCACAAGCTTTTTTGTTTTTTTTAATCACTCATGAGAGGTTGAAAATAGATGGACCACAAGCCAGCTATGGCCCATGGATATTATTTGGTTTGGCCTGCACAGTATTTTGGGTTTAGGGGGAGGGGGTTTCGACAACTGGCCCAGCACTTAAACTTGGGAGCTATCATATAAGATTTGAATTTCTGACTACTTTCGAAAAATCAGAAGAGCTGTCAACCCCATGCCCACATTTCTGCACAGCAACAATAGACAGAAGTGGACCAGCAGGTGCCCCTTTAGATGCTTGTTACCTGAATAGCCCCTGTGGCATTGGCATTTTTGCCCCCGGCCTACTCTATGCCCACGCTCCACTGTGCTAAATGCAAAATCTCCCTTAAATGCAGGCCTGCCCTTCTTTCCTTTAATCTATGGCCCCAGCCCCCTGGATCTTGTTCCCCCTCCCTTTTCACTTTCCTAAAGCTACTTCCCTCTGCCCCCTTCACCAAGCTTCTTATGCCACCTGGCCTCAACTACCCCAAGGACATTTATCTCTTGCCTCCTTTTAAGCTTATCTGAAACCCCCACCCCTAATCTCTCTAACAGGCTGGGTGGAGAAGGAGACATACTACTGAGCCCACTGGAAGAAGAACAGGCACGGGAAAGACAGGGTGCCCTGGAGGTGTTGTGGGGATGGTGATGAAGAGGGGTGGAGAAAACTGGGCAGTAATTATGGGGAAAATTCAGGGAGACAGAATGAGGGAATTCAGCAGGCTAAACTGGGGGGAGCAGGTAAATAAACTTGGGGTGATTGCCCCATAGACCTAATTGTGAACAACCAGATTAGACACTACATGTTAGGATCCCTCCCTAGAACCTGCCCCACCCACCTCACTATGTCATGGAATCAAGGGTGACTCCAGCTCTTCCCCGTTCCCCGTCCCTTCACCCCTACCTCCTACTAGAACAGATCAATATCCAAAGGCAGGGACCTGTTTAAACCCCAACCAAAAAACCAAACCCATTGCCAACAAGTAGATTCCGACTCATAGTGATCCTATAGGACAGAGTAGAGCTTCCCCATAGGGTTTCCAAGGAGAGGCTGGTGGATTTGAACCACCAACCTTTTGATTAGCAGCGGAGCTCTTAACCACTGCACCACCAGGAGAAGGGAAATCCTCTCTAATCACTAAGCATCCCTTTATCTCTCCAGCCACATGCTACTTCCCACTCCCCCCGCCTCGTTTTCCTCTTGTCCAACCTGGTCCCTTTCTCTGCTTCCCCCTCAGACCTTGACACCACAAATAGTTCCTCCTGGTGCATACCTGAGGCTGGAAAAGGAAGCTCCTTGGAGAGGCCAGGATGTGTCTCCCAGTCAAGGCTAGTTAGAAACCTCAAGAGGAGAGCTGGGTGGCCAGGTGGGAGGTCAGGGCACAGCAGAAGGAGGGAAACAACCAAGGAAGAGAGACAGAAGAGGAGAGAGATTTCACCAATGACAGGACATTGACGTGTCCTGACCCTCCAGGTCGACGCTGTGGACTCTAGCTCCGTGGCCTGCCCTTTTAGCATACTCTGCCAGCAGACCAAATTCAATCTCAGCAGAGTAGCAGCAGAGGCAGGGTCAGAAGGCAGCCTGGGGAGCTTCACTGAGATTCCACACCCGTGTGACCCTTGGTTAGTGGTCCAATTGGTCCACAAGGCCGACGTCACAGAAGCTCCTGCTCTCTCAATCACATGCGCTTGGTATCACCACCCATCCCCCTTTAGAATGCTAAGTCCTTGTTTTTCCAAAAGGCATAGCTGCCAGTTCATTCTCAGCCCCTCCCAGACTCTTCCCCTTCGTGTCCATCGTTATGAACCTGCATCCTTCCCAGGCACTGCCAAACCAGCCTTGGAAAATGAGTTCCCTAGCTATTGGCTGGGACTGGGGTGGAAAAGCTTCTGGAAACTTCCGGCATTCCAGAGACATGCAGAATCAGCTTAAGTCATAAATGTGTTCAGAATCTTTGGGCAACAAGGGGGAAAACATTGTTAGGAGACTTGCCCTTGACCTCTCAGATGGCAGGGCTGTTTCTCCCAAGTTAATGCCCTTCACTCTGATGATCATCGTGCCCCGTTTCCCTGAAATGGGGAGTTAGTTTCAGGTCCCTACGGGAGATACTTTTCCTTCCCTTGCCCCTCTCCACCTAATACTTTTTCTCTACAAGCAGCTTTGCCCATTCTCTAGGCCAGGCTTAGAAGGCATTGAAAATGTCCTGTAGAGAGAGTCCTTGATGGGCCAAGCAAGTGTGAGAGAGAGAGAGAGACCTAAGGAAAATGAAAGATCTAAGGCAGAAAGGAAGAAAGTACAAAAGACAAACACAAGGTCAGGCCCATCTACAGCCCCACAAGAGCTGTTATTTCATTGCACTGGAATTTTACTTTGTCAGGTGTACCTTGAAAAAAGTGAGTCATTGCCTTGGGCTTGGAAATCTTAATGGGAGGCCATACTAATTTGGACCCAATTAACTTGAGGTTATCGACTGGACAGAGTTTATCTTTCTTTGCACAATCAATAAAAATGGCATTTGTTCAGTAAATTAAGAGCATAAACCATATTGCTAGGGGTGACATATTTAGTCTACCTAAAACAAATACTTTTCAAGCACTTTAGCAATATCCATTTAGAAGTAGAAAATGCATGAGCTAATTATCATTGATCTTTATGTATTTAGTAAAGAAGCATCTACAGGACCTTTACCTGGTGATCTTTTGTAAGACGTTAGAGGCACTACATATGTACTTGAAAATAATAAAGTTACATTTCTTTATGAAAAAAGAAATCCCTCCCATAATTCAGATTTCTATAATTCATACTCGCCTCCCTCCCTAATTGTGGTACGTTTTTAAATGTGTACTGTGGCAGGACTTGGCTTGTAGAAGACAGAACGTGAAGAAATACAGAGAGGGCAGGTCTGAGGGATAGATGAGGACATAATGTGGAAGCAGATGATGTTGGTGGAGAAAGCTAGAGGGAAAGAAGCTAGGTGGCAAAATGACCTAGAAGAAAATATACCAGGGGGCTTTTTCCTCATAGCGGATCCCATCCCAACAGTCACAAAAGCTTATTAGGGACAAGGAAGAGCCTGTGAGTCTATTTGGGCCCAAGTCCTCAGAGCTACTTCTGCTTTTCTGACCAAAATCAGACCACTGTTAAGCTAAGGGGGTTGGGGTAGGAGATGCTGGGATAAGGGGACAAAACAATCAACACTAGTTAATAGTCTATACTGCATGAAGAGCTCTATTCTGGGTGCTGTCTTTAGGGGATGAGGGAGAAAGTAGGTGCAATCTGTGAATTTCACCTGAGTCATGGGAGTCCCTGGGTGATGCAATCGGTTAAGTGGTCAACTACTAGCTGAAAGGTTGGTGGTTCGAATCCACCCAGAGATGTCTCAGAATACAGGCCTGGTGATCTGCTTCCAAAAGGTCATAGCCTTGGAAACTCTATGGAACAGTTCTACTGTGCACTCATGGGTCTTCCATGAGTCTGTATTGACTTGATGCCAACCAATAACAACATCAACAACATAGACTTTGAAACCTTCCTGGATGGTGTGTGATGGCAATGGGAGAGGGAACCTTGTGTGTTGGAGACAGAAGGATGAGTGGGTGTGTGCACGCCTCCAGAGGTCTCTGGGAATGGGAGAGAGGAAGACATCAACTCTTCACCCTGTGTGAGGATCTTGGAAAGCCAGTCAGAAGTTAACTCTTGCCCAAGCCATGTCTTAGCCCCTTCATTACAACTCTTAACAGTGATGGTGGTGGAATGGTGGTTGTAGAAGCATTAACTGCAGCAGCATCAGTACCTGAGTGTTCACTTTGTGCCAGAGCTATGTTAAGCATATTGCATGGTTATTGTTGTGTGCACCGTCAAGTCGATTCAGACTCATAGTGACCCTATATGACAGAGTAGAACTGCCCCGTAGGGTTTCCTAGGCTGTAATCTTTATGGAAACAGATCGCCAGGTCTTTTCTCCCATGGAGCCACTGGGTGAGTTTGAACTGCCAACCTTTCAGTTAGCAGATGAGTGCTTAACCATTGCACCACCAAGGCTCCTATTGCATAGTCTCATTTAATCCCACCTGAGAGCCTTTGTTCTTGATGGTCCCTCGGCCAGGAACAATTTCTCTTAGCTCTTTACCTGCCTGGCTTCCTCACTTCATTTAGATCTCTCCTTAAATGTTACCTCCTCAGAAAGGCCTTCACAGACCACCCCAGATAAAATACATCCCGGCACCTCTATCCCTTATTTTCTTTGTTTTTATCGATAAATACTATTACCTGAAATTATTTATGTGTGTGTGTGTGGCATATACATGGAGTCTCTGGGTGGTACAAACAGTTAATGAGCTCAGCTGCTAACCGAAAGGTTAGATGCTCGAGTCCACCCCAGAGGAGCCTCAGAAGAAAGCCCTGGTGATCTACTTCCGAAAAATCAGCCATTGAAAACTCTACGGAGCACAGTTCTACTCTGACACACATGGGGTCGTCATAAGTCAGAGTCCACTCAATGGCGAGTCTTGATGGTGATTAGCATAAATACATTTAAAACAACATTTGTTTGTTTTTTTGGCTGTCTCCTCCTCCAGAATAAGTTCCATGAAGACAGAAATTTTATTTCTTTTATTCACCACTATTATTCTCAGCACCTAAGACAATGCCTGAGACAGGTTAGGCAAATTAATAAATACTTGTTGAATGAAAGAATCCTCCCAACAACCAATAAGATGGGGTTTATTTTTATCTCCAACTAACAGATGAGAAAATGGAGGCTCCTGATGGTTCATGTGTTCAGTGTTTCAAAGGTAGTAAGCATCAGAATCAGGATTCAAAGTGAGATCAGTCTGGCTCCAGGCCAGCCCTCTTAACCACCTGTTGTATTAGCCTGCAGCTGCAGGAGCAGAAAACTCTGTGGGTCAGGGTGGAGCCTGGCCAGTCCAGTGTTTAGTGAACTGGAGAGGCTGCGAAGGGAGCCAGGAATGTGTGGATAATGGACATTTGAGCAGGAGAGGCTGGGCAGACCTATGCCACTAGAACCAGAGGAAGGGAGAGCTCATGATCTTAAAGATGCAGACAAGATTAATGGACCACAACTACCACGGCCTCCACCAGACAGCCCAGAACTAGATGGTGCCCGGCTACCACCACCGACTGCTCTGACAGCTATCACAACAGAGGGTCCCAGACAGAGCTGCAGAAAAATGGAGAACAAAATACTAACTCACAAAAAAAGACCAGACTTACTGGTTTGACAGAGACTGGAAAAACCCCAAGAGTATGGGCCCCAGATACCCTTTTAACTCAGCACTGAAGTCATTCCTGAGGCTCACCCTTCAGCCAAAGATTAGACAGGCCCATAAAACAAACACTGATACACGTACCTCAACGATGTATACAAGACTAAATGGACACACCAGCCCAGGGGCAAGGATGAGAAGGCAGGAGGGGACAGGAAAGCTGGACGAATGGAAATGGGGAACCCAAGGTCCAGAAGGGTTGACACGTCGCAGGGTTGGCAACCAATATCACAAAACAATATGATTAATCATTTAATGAGAAACTAATTTGCTCTGTAAACCTTTACCTAAAGCAAAAATAAATAATGTTTTTAAAAAGATACAAATAGGAAGTTAAGAAAAAAGGTGGGAAGAGATTCAATAATCTGCAGGAGGATCTCAGCAAAAAAAAGTGAGAGAATCTTACTACTGGATGAAATGTTAGAAGTTAAGGCCAACCTCTGACTCATGCAGAAATGTACTCCCTGGCATTTCCTTTTCAGTTACCGAATAGGAAACTCGATAAGCCATCAGAGACCGATGACAAGCTACAGATACATAACACTAAGAATGTGGCCAAAATTATAAAGAATGATCAGATAAATATCAAAGGAAGACATTTAATACAAAATGAATCCTTCAAAAATGTCTGTGACTAGTGAATTTCGTGAAGAATTTCTCCCAAAATCTTCAAAGAACATTGGTATATTACTGAAACTGTACTGGAATATAGGAAAGAATTGTGCGTGCTGCCCAGCCTGTTTTATGAGACACATGAGTATTGATAAAATTTAATACCAAACATATATGATAACTTGATCACCAACAAATAGTAGAACGCAAGAATAGTACATACCAAGGAAAACCAACATTAAGTGGAAGTGATTAAATAATATAATCATTTCAAAGATACTGAGAAGGCAATCAGACATTCAAAATCCATTCCTGATTAAAATATAGGAAAACATAAGCATGTTCAGAGAACAGAGGAAGCGAGATAGTGCGTCTAGAAAATGAATAATAACATCTATAATAAAAACAATAGCAACAACAGTTTCAGTCCTGGGTGGGGAGTTTGTATTCAAAAGGTCTAAATAAAAAGAGAAACTGGAAGTAAAAACTTTTTAAAATTATTTTTCGTTAGAGGATGTGACTAAATACCTAAAAATCCAAGGAAGTCAATCAAAAAGCAATAAAAAGATATATATAAATAAAAGCAAAAAAAAAAAAAAACCAATAGAAACAGCAATAAAAATTCCTAGAGGCAAAGCAAAGAGTTCAAAGTTGCAGGATGTAAAATACTATTTTTTTTAAATCAAGTGTATCCCTAAATATTAGTGAGATAGAAAGTATAATACAAAGAGTTTCTATTTACAATAGAAATAAAACAAATTACACTTAAGATTTAGTGTGTGACATTTTCTTTAAAGAAAATGTAAAAGTACAATGCGAGAAATAACGACAAATATGAATATGTGAAGAGCTAAGCATGACTCCAGTTTTGGAAGACAAAATGTAGTAAAGATAAAAATAAGATACTATAAAGATTCAATCCAATATCAATTAAAACCCTCACTATATATATTTTTTCACAAAACATAACATGTTGGTTGTGACATTTGGCTGCAAGATTAATCAGGCAAGAACATCAGAGTTTCTTGTAAATAACCGTGAAGCAAACGGATAGGTATCTGAAATGCTAGCATATTAACCCTAATAGATCTTTTTTTCTTTTACAGTTTATCAAAACGACCATATATTTTAAGTTCTCCAAAAATGTAATAATACGCAGTGGATAGCATCAATAATTCCAAATACCTACTTTAAACCCTAAAAGATTTTAAAACATTTCTGGCCAAAGTGATGATTATCAAAACCTTATAACATTGAGATAAAACCTCAAAATTTTTGATTCATTCAACATGTACTCAAGAACAGTCCGGCGACCACCTGCTGTGGGCCAAGCCCTGTTCTAAGGGCTGGGTATACAGCAATGAACGAGATCGCAAGGTCCTTACCCTCAGGGAGAAACAGAGAACTAACAAGTCAACAGTTAAATGGACAGGATCCTCCCAGAGGGTAAGTGTTGTGAAGACAAGTGATGTCATAGAGGGAGAGGTTGCTTCGGATTTAGCAATCAGAGAGGTTGTTTCTGAAAAGGTGGACTTTTGAGCTAAGACCTGTGGAACAGAATAGGGTTTCCATAATTAAGCTCAACTGATTATATCTCAATGAAGTTGCTTTTGAGGCTGGGCTAAGTGACTCATAGATGATGCACAGATGAACTTGGCAGTTTTCACCTTAATTCTAACCGTATTCACAAGGATTTTATGACCTACATTAAACACAAAGATGGGAGAAAATATTTGTAATGCATATGACAAGGGGCTCCTACAAATCAATGAAAACAATGGAAAATTAGGCAAATGATAAGAACAGACAATTCATTAAAAAAAAAAGAAAAGAAATCCAGAGATGAAAAAAAATGCAGATTAAAACTACAAAATACTAAATTTCACCTATCATAATGACGAAACAGAATCTTTTACAATTTTAAATGACAGAACCCTATGATTCAGCAACAGGAGTCCGCTCTACAGAATTAGAAGCATAGGGACCTAAAGATGCCTATATACAAGGATGTTACTGCAGCAGTGTTTTTAAAGGTTAAAAAATAAATTGAAAATACTCTATAAATCCATCAGTAGTGGAAATGATTGAGTGGACCATGTGTCAATACACTACAACAATGAGCTCTATGTACATGACATATTGATAAATGAGAGAAGAGAGTTGGATGGTTCTATTGCAAAATTTAAAGGAGCTCTCCTTTTAGGTATCTATTTGTATAAACATAGAAAAAAGACTGGAAGGACACACTGCAACACTGTTAATAGCTGTGACCCTAATACTCCCCAGCATGTTTCCTCCTTTTCAAAATGGGCAACTGACAGCTTGACATAACTAACGTCATGATGAACCTATAAGTTTTCTTTTTCTTTTTTCTTTGCCTTCTCCTTTTCGCATACCTTTGTTAAGGACTTTGTTTTGCTCTTTCCAGCCACCTGTGGCTTACACCCCCACCCGCACCAGGAAGATTAGAGCCCAGATGTCTGATATGTATATCTTTAGCCTGATAAGGAAATGTCCAGCACATATCTCTTTACTATCATAAAAAGTCTTTTGTAATTAGCTTGGAATGAATAATGACACTTCTAACCTCTGTGAAAATCATATATAAGCTCTAATGTAAAAATGCCTTTTGAGATGGTGGATACCTCCTAAATAAAACTTTCTCACTCTTTATGATGTGGAGTACGTTTCATTGGCTCAACTGCTCCAGGGCACAGACCTTATTAGGGTAACAATAGCAGTAACTTCATTGGTGGGCAGGCTAATAATGGAAGAACGGAGAGTAATACTTTCAGTTATTTTATACACTTTTAATAGAGAATAAAAATCCAATCTAGTAAAGAAATATTGGTGTGTGCCATCGAGTGGATTCTGTCTCCTAGTGACCCCATGCGACAGAGTAGAACTGGCCCATAGGGTTTCTGAGGCTGTAATCTTTACAGGAGCAGATCACCAGATCTTTTCTCTCTCAGAGCAGCTGGTGGGTTTAAACTAACCTTTCGGTTAGCAGCTGAGCACGTAGCCACTGTGCCACCAGGGCTCCTTAAAGAAATAGACTATCATTTATCCCAGCTGGGAAGGGAAAATGTTTCTGAATATTGAAGGAGGATTGCAGCAGCACCAAGATAAATGTTTGCAGATGTATTTTTTTTGACAAGCAAGAACAACTAAAATGCAATTAAATAAATATCAAAACAACAGAATGGAGAAATGTATGTGGCAGGTATTATTTTAAAATTTTATAGATGATAGAAATATAAAACTCTTCTTTAGAAGGAGGTGGAGTATAAATTACACACAAAACATGCAAAGTTAATACATACAACTTACAAAGATGTCAGTGAAGGTGAAAGGAAGAGGTAAATCAATCATTTTAAAATGAGGAAATGAAGTGTTTTCAGATAGAAAATCATATCTTTACTCTCACGAGTACAGCTGCACATTAAACCAACTTTAAGATGGCATTATTCACAAACAAAACGACAAAAAAAAAAAAAATTGCCATCAAGTCCAATTCAACTCATAGCAACTCTATGGGACAGAGTAGGACTGCCCCACAGGGTTTCCAAGGCTGTAACCTTTACGGGAGCAGACTGTCACATTTTTCTTCCATGGAGTTGCTGATGGGTTCAAACTGCCAACCTTCCGGTTAGCAGCCAAGCACTTAACCACTGCACCACCAGGGCTCCTTACAAACAAAACTAATTACACTTAATTCAAGCTATTTATTGAGCACGTACTGTGTGTATCAGACACTGTGATTTGCATAGAGCTTCTCATTTTAATTCTCACTCTAGTCACCTTTCAAGATGGTATCCCCCTTTAAAGATGAGGGGACAGGCACAGAGAGGTTAGGGAACTTGCTCAAAGTTACATAGCTGGTAAGCAGGTAAGTCAGGATTTAAACCCAGGACTGATCCCAAAGCCTAAGATCTGACTCTTCCGTTATATGATCTCCTAAAATTAAAAGGCAGAACTCAATGTTGGTGGAGAAGTGTGCCTCACTAAAAACTTGCTCACACAGACAGTACCTACTTTTTTTTGTGAGTCGGCTATCTGGGGTACCTCCAAGCCTCAGAAACTACAGAACTAAGTTAGAACTTGGTTCTAGTTTTGTTCTCAGACTGAAATTCTCTGTGGCAGAATCCGCTCCAGTCATCCTCAAACGCAAAGATTGAGACTTCAGGGTTTTCTGTTAGAATTGCCACGAGGCCTTTGTGATGACTGACAGACCTGGGCCGTTGCCATGGCGCCCATAGGGCCTAGGGTGGGAGGCTCCCAACGGTGCCCTGAAGCCAACTCTGGCCTCCTCACTCCCACCGCATTTCCCACCTGCTGAGAACCCTGTGGCATCTTAGACCCCTAGTTAGCTTCCACTTCTTGTTTTTAGAGGCCCTCGCTCTTCATTTCCTTAACTCTGTTTACTCTTTCACCTTCTCTTTCACTCTCTCATCACCTCACCTTCTTCTCTTCTGTAGATGCCCTCATTCCCGACACCACCTTGCACTTTCTACTGCTTCATCACACTTCACTCTCCTCACACTTTCTCTCCCTTGTCTGTCACCTCTGGCCTTTAGATTCCTCTCTCCATTTTCTCCTTCAGTCTTCTGCTCCCTCACCTCCCTTTCCCTTTCACATCTCTACGACTTGACTCCTCCATTCCTTCTGCTTTCTGCTCCCTCTTTCTCTCCCACCACTTTATTATTCTGTCCCATTCCCCTCATCTCCTTACTCATTCATTCCATCATTTCTGTCACTTGCCACCCACCTTTCCTGTCCTTCACTTCCTCCTTTCTCTCGTTTCCCTCACTCTCTTTGCTTTCCACCCCCCAGTTGAGCTGGGTCAGCTATATCCAGAGAAAATGATGGGGTCTGGGAACAAAAAACAAAGGCCAGGGGCTCGTCGTGAGCAGAATACTAGCCCAAGGCCTATTAAGGGGTCTAATACTGGTAAGAAAACAAAGACGAAGAAGAAAAATACCGGAGATATGGAGGAGCTGAAGAAGGAAGTGGTCATGGTGAGAACACGCAAAATAGGTGCTGACAAGTTGCCCTCTACAAACTCTCCCCCTCATCTCTTTTAATCTTACCTTGAGAATTAATTGCACAGGCCAGACATCCTTCTTCC